ATTAGCTTGAACCACGATTGTGAAAAGAAGCAGAATTACACAACATGGAACTACATTATCTTTGGGAGGACAAGGAGAGAAACATCAAATAGGGTTCCTGATCAGTATCCTGGCAAGCTCTGCTGCTAAGTTTGCATTGATTGAAGTTAGATGAGATCACCATATCAAGCTCACTGTGATGCTCCACTCAAGTAACTTGGCAAAACTTAGAATAACATACTGCGGTCACCAAACATAATCTTTTCTACTCAAGCTTTTCTCATGGGATAACCCATTTAGCTCAAGTGGCAGCATTCTCATCTTTGGGTCAGAAGGTCGTGGCTTCATGCCCCACATCAGGAGTTAAATTCAGTCAAGGCTAATACTTTTTTTTGGTTAGTCGGATGTTTGACACATACAGAAACCGATCATCTGATAACCTGATAATGCCAGGATGTAAACAATCCTTTTTACTTTTAAACAAAGGACTGTTTGTGGGACATTGCTGTGCGCAATTGGCTGCTGCGTTTCGCCCACAAATATCCAGTCAATTCACTTTACAGTATATTCTGTGAAGTGCTTTGAGACGTCTAGAAGACGCGATAAAGTGCTATATCAAATGCAAGGATTATTATTATCATGCTAACAAGTATCCAAGCCAAACAGAGAGTCGCATGCAGCTCACCTATACATGAAAATTCCAGGATATTATTGGAATGGAATGTGCACTCTCTTCCTGGAGGGTCCCTTCCTGCTTACCTAATGCCAGTGAATATTAGGCGTAGGTTGCCAAGGTTTGGGGACCCCAGAGTGTGCATTGGGGGGGTACTGCTGGAGTTTATCCAGCTAAAACTGTAGTTTCCCATTGAAAGAATTGTATGGCAAGTAAGGGCTTTGGCTTGTAGGGTTAACAGGAGCTGAGTGCGAAGTGTCCCTGCCCCATTGACTGGTCTGCCTTTCAAAGTCCTGCCTTTGAGCGAGGTTGTCATCAGCAGTACCCTGGAGTACTACGGACCCGACTAGCTCAGGAACTGGATTAGCGGAACCGCCACAGAGAGTTGGCTCAATTCTGACCCCGCTTACCTCCTCCAAGGTTAGTAAACTAATATTTCAGCGCAGTACTGGGGGAATGCTACATTATCAAAGGTGCCATCTTTTGAATGAGACATTAAATTGAAGTCCCATCAGTCCGTTCGGATGGAAAATTTAAAATTTAAATATCTCTCCTGGTGTTCAGGCTAAAACTATCCAGATAAAGTGGTAGTTCATTACAGCTATTTGCAGAATCTGCTGTGTGCAACTGTCTACTACATTTGCCTACAAATATAGTCACTATACTTTAACCTGTAAAGTACTTTAATGAAGTTTAATTTTGAACTTAAGCCCTACATCAAATGTACAAAAGTTATTATTTGTGAAGATTTTACAGAAAAAAAAGCAACTTTTAATAAATCAGTGTACATTAAACTAGATTGTCTTGGCTCAGAAATTGAGATTAGTTAGGTGCCAGAAGCCTACCTTCAAACATACAGCCACACTTAAGTATAAGCAGGAGGGTAGAAGAGGGGGAAAAATGTTTTTCCTCTCCACAGTGCACATTTTCATAATCAACCTGTTGACGCAGCTGGTAGCATGTTTTACTATTTTATCTTGGGAAGCCAACAGAATAAAATATTTTGTCTCACATATAACATTAAACATATACTTAATTCTTTTCGCCAACTGTAAAAAAAACAGTTTTGCTTCTCTTTTAAAGCCCAGAAAACATTTACAGATGTATCGCATTCTCAGATTCAGTTGACCCAAATGGTACTTTCTTTTCTTCTGTGGTCGTTTGCAGTGTTTCATAAGTAACAAAAAAACTATATCAGAACCCTATAAAAAGTACTGAAAGATGCTGCATGTTCTAAAAGAGTTGTCTCAGTTTCAGAAGCAGCTTTTATTTCTAATATTAAAAAACCTGCCCGATTTTTCTTTAATTCTAGGCAACATTCATATCTGTAGAGAGCTGCAGCCACATTCGCTTATTTTGCTTTTGAAATTTGCATATTAGCTTTGGTTATCATCAACTCAATAATGACGGTCAAAGAAAACAAATTTGATTAGACCATTTCATGTAGTGTTTAAAGCACAACAATGACAATTGCAAAACCATTTATATAAACAACATTTTTGCAAACAATGTCCAATAAAATACCTTGCTCTTAATAATCACCTTAGATAAGCTTAAATTTCCAATACGAGAGTCACACCATTGTGAAAGTACGAGTTGGATCTAATACAGCACTTTATAATATTGAAACGTCTCAAAACATTTCCCAGAATTAGTTAATTTTGAGATACTGCTAGTAGTGCCAGTAACATCTCAAAACTAATTAAATGGATTATCTTTTATTTGATAATAAACAACTTGCATTTATATAGTGCCCTTCATGTGAGGTAACATCTTAGAGTGGATAAATTTAGAGAGGGAAGAATATGTTTGAGGGCATCGAGAACTCTTCCTGGAAATAGTAAATTAGGATCATTAATATCCATCTTAAACACCCAAACAGTTAGATGAAGAAAAAGATTTCCAACAATACAGTACTTCCTTAATACTGCACCAACATGTCAGCCTCATGAGATTATCAGCTTCAACTAGTTGTTTGGGGAATCAACCCCCCAAACTTCTAGCTCAGAAGCAATAGTGCTAACAACTGAACCAAATATCATCATTAGACTATCCTTAAGACTATATAGAATATAGCATAATGCAATTGCTTTAACAATAAAACACATGAAATGTTAGTTAGCTATATTCTTGAATAATGTACTGCACATTACCTAGATGTATTGCAGTAAACAAAACATAAAGCTGAACAACTTGTTTTCATCAGGAATCTAGGGCCACAGAAAAATTTAATAGATGTACACAATAGAGCAAATGTGTGATTAAATAGACTGATATGTACCCCACAATTATATTGGCTCTCTGTATAATTAATTAATTAATTAGTAACATCAGTGGCAGGAACAAACTATGTGTTGTAAATACTTTAACAAGCACAATGCAGTGTTGAGTGATCCTACAAAATTCACTTTTGATATGCATTTAAAGAAAACAAACAGAACAGGGAACGCAACAACAACTTGCATTTATATAGCACCATTCACGTGGGGCAGAGTTTGGAGTGCTTAACAGTGGCGGAGCCTGACGCCAAGCCGTGGAAAGAAGGAGGTGACTGTAAGCACGGTCGAAGGTCTTCAGTCTCACCACAGCTTTCCAAATATAGAAATAAATTTAATAAATACAGAAATAAATTTAAAGTTTAGCAGTTAGGCACATCAGTTAATGTTTAAACTCTTCCAAGTGCATTAGGACATCCACCTGACGTGAAAGGTACTAATGCAAATTTGTAATTTGTATCATTTCTCACAAATGTTCTGTTATAATTGCTATGATCAGCTGATAATCATATTAATTAACCATATATAAAATAATGTTTTTTTGTTGTTTCTCATCTTTAATACAGTACTAGATTCACCACAACCAACCACACTGGCATAAAGCAGCCAACCAGCTACAAGGGTGGGTTCTTCCTTTTGTCTGACCAATTTGACTTACTAAATTGACACCTGTTGTAAAGGCCACCAAAGCCGAGTATACTTGCATCAAATCTTTCACTGAAAGTAAATTTTGTGCTGCGTAACAGAAACTATAACTGACTCATTTCAGCACTGCACCATGTGATAAAAAGATAAGTTTATAAAATTGTCTTCTTTTACCACTATTTATAAAAGCTGTGTCTACAATCAAATACACACAATGTTCAAAGTAGACCTGAATTTGTGCAAATACGTTTGTTCATTCACTAGTTTGATTCTGAGGATGAAGGGAATTGAAGATTCCTGAACAACTTGGCTGATTTATAAATCTTTACAAATTCAAACCATGCAGATACTTGACTCCACTGAACTGCACTGTACTCCCTAGTTTTGAACAAGTGAGCCGATCTTTTTATTGCTGTACATATTTTGCTGTTTGATTAAAGGTAATGAATAGCTTTACATTGTATTTTACTTCACATTTTAATTACAGTGGCGTCAGATGTTATGCCCAAATCCTCTTACCTTGTGCCTCTTCTTAGCTTTCAAAACTCATCTAAGAACCTCTCTATTTGACTGTACTTTCAGCCCCCTCTCCTCCCTCCACCCTCAACTCAATTCTAGGTTGAGCTGCTGTTCAGTCTTTGTAAAATACTCCAAAACATTCTCTTTGGGTGAAAGGTGCTCTATAACTGACAATTGTTGCTGTCATTGTCTTAGAAGGGGACAAACCGTACTCAAACATAATAATCCTTGCATTTGATATAGTGCCTTATCATGTCTTCGAGAAATCTCAAAGCGCTTCATAGAATACACTGTAAAGTGACCTGACTTTATATTTTATTTGCAAAACGTGTTATTTTTCAACAACAACTTGCATTTATACTGTGCCCCTCACGCAGGCTAGCGTCTCAGATCCATAGCATCAGAGAAAGTGATAATGAATGAATGCAATAGTTAAGACAACAGAAGGCAACAGAAGGCAACCCAGTTGAATTCATTAATATAAAACCATCAATGAAAATAATAAGCAAACTGAGTTAAAGAACTGAAACTTTTTGCAAAACTCTGGCTCCTATAAGATTATTCTTTGATTGCCTTAAATATATAAAACAATAACAATTTGACAAACCTATATTTTTCGAGGAGAATCTCTTAGAATACAAGTGTCACTGTAAATGAACTAGTGGATCTGAATGGTAGTATTTGTCCTCAATATCCTGTATAAATTTCCACATCATATGTGGAAACTCTTTGCTATTGTTTAGAGACCTTGGTTAAAAATAGTAAACAATCATTCAGGAAAACATCGAATTTGGAAGTGAGAAATGGTAATTACAGTGCAATTTTCCAACTTTAAGAAAAACAAAAACATCTGCAACACAATGCAGAAAATAAGCCCTTCTTAAAAGAATGAAGCGAGAGTAACTTACCATTTTGTAAGCCCATCCAGAGCTGCTTATGGTCTTTTTTCTGCATCTCATTGATTACTTGACTTTTGTGTTTTAAGGCATCAGCTTCTTTAATGCAGGACATGAAATGAGCTTCAACGGCATCCTTGGTGGTACAGTGAAGTAGTTCCTTCTCGGGAAAATTCTGGGGAAAAAAAAGCAATAGTTATACACAAATCATACAATTTTTATATTTCACCAACACAAGGCAAAAAGTGTGAAACAAGAAATCCTCTCCAAATATCCAGTTTGTGTATGTGCAATTTTGAGTACATACTTGAGGTTACCTCAGGTGTGATTTACCGACACAGCAAGAGTAAATCACATCCTTAGCAACTCTGCACGTATACACACAACATATTGTGTTCACACCTAACTTTTTTTTTGCTCAGAGATAAAGGCACAGTGAGAAAACAAAGTTGGAAAGAGCGCCAGAAAAAAAAGAAAAAATGAGAGAGAGAGGCTGGCACAGATTGCTATTATAGTGGAGCCTTGTTATAACACTAAGAGTGGAGTCCCATAGCGCAGTGGTTATCATGCTCGCCTCGTAGGTGAGATGACACAGGTTCAATTGCTTGCACAATGTGTGCTATGTGGGAACTCCAGGATGCTTTGTGTGCCCTGGACAAACATGTGTGTGGGGAGTGCCTCCGGTTGCTTGAACTTAGAGTTTCTGAGCTTGAAGAGAGGCTTGTGTCACTACAAAGCATATGGGAGGCTCAAAAGTTCATGGGTGGAATGTTTCAGGAGGTGATCACCCCACAGCCACACAGTGTTCATGAGGAGAGTGAGTGGGTGACCACCCAGCAAGGTAGGAAGAGGTAACAGTGCAGAAATCCCCTGAAAGTGTGGCACTTACAAATTGGTTCTCTGTACTGAATACCGGTCAGGGTGATGACACCTCTGGGGAGAGGAAACAAAAGCAGATGGATGCATAGGGTGACACCGGGAAGAGTGTCAATACAATTGTCATTGGGGACACAAGGTTGAAAGGAGTAGACAGACGTTTCCGCAACCAAAAACGTGACTCTGACATGGTATGTTGCCTTCCTGGTGCCAGGATTGAAGACATTACAGAACAGGTGCAAAACATTCTACAGAGGGAAGGGAAACATCCAGAAACCATAGTCCATATTGGGATCTATGACGTAGGGAAAAAAAAGGGCTGAGATCCTACAGGGAAAGTATCAGACACAAGGGAAAAAGCTAGGACCTCAAAGGTGGTGATCTCTGGATTACTCCCAGTGACTCGTGCAAGTGAGTATCAAAACAGCAGGATCAAACACAGGAATTCACGGCTGGAGAAATGGTGTGGAAAGGAGGGCTTCAGTGTCCTGGAACACTGGGACCAGTTCTGGGGCTGGTGGGACCTGTACAAGGTGGATGGGTTACACCTGAACAGGGCTGGGACCAATAACCTCGCAGGCAGGTTAACTAGTGCTGTGGGAAAAAGTTTAAACTAGTTTCGAGGGGGCAAGGGAATCGGGATGCAACATCAGAGAGGACAAACAAGTTACACAGAGGGCTGGGAGAGACGAATAGCAAAGTAATAAAGAATAATCTAGAAAAAGGGATTAGATGGGGGGAAATGCAGAGCAGACTCAGTCAGTCTTGGAGTGCATGTGCATAAATGTACAGAGTGGGACAAATAAGATTGGTGAGCTGCAGGCTCAAGTTGCCACATGGACATGGGACTATGATGTAATACTATGATAAAGTGCCACATAAGAGACTTGTAAGCAAAATAAAAGTCCACGGTATTAAAGAGACAGTGGCAGCATGGATACAGAACTGGCTGGGTGACCGAAAGCAGAGTGACCTGGACATGGGTCAAGGGAGTATAATTTCCAAGTTTGCAGATGATACTAAACTAGGAAAAGTAGTAAACAGTGAGGAGGATAGACAGACTGGTAAAATGGACAGACACCTACGTGACAGATGAAGTTTAATGCAGAGAAATGCGAAGTGATGCACTTTGGGAAGAAGAATGAGGAGAGCAATATAAGCTGATGGTACAATCTTAAAGGGGGTGAAGGAACAGAGAGACCTGGGGGTCCATATAGGTAAATCTTTGAAGGTGACAGGACAGGTAGATAAAGCTATTAAAGCATACGGGTTCCTATTTATAAATAGGGGCACAGAATACAAAAGTCAGTAAGTTATTTTATGATGAACCTTTATAAAACACTGGTTAGGCCTCAGTTAGAATACTGTGTTCAGTTCTGGGCACCACATTTTAAAAGGCATTGGAGAGGGTGCAAAGGAGATTTACCAGGATGGTACCAGGAATGAGGGACTTCAGTTATCAGGAGAGGTTAGAGAAGCTAGGATTATTCTCCTTGGAGCAGAGAAGGTTAAGAGGAGATTTAATAGCAGCTATCAAAATTGTGAGGGTATTGAATAAGGTGAACAAGGAGAAACTATGTCCATGGCAGGTGAGTCGGTAACCCGAGGGCACCGATTTAAAATAGTTGTTAAAAGAAACAGAGGGGAGGTGAGGAGAAATTTTTTCACACAGCGAGTTGTTCAGATTTGGAATACATTGCCTGAAAGGGTGGTGGAAACCAATTTGATAACAACTTTTAAGAGAAAAGTAGATAATTATTTGGGGAGGACAAGTTTGCAGGGCTATAGGGAGAGAGCGGGGCAGTGAGATTGATTTGGATAGCTCTTTTCAAAGAGCCGGCCCAGACACGATGGGCCAAATGGCCTCCTTCTATGCTGTATAATTCTATGATTCTGTGTCAGATACCTGACTGACCTACAAAAAAATCTGCCAATTATACCAGCTATAATGCTAATATTGTCATGACTGTCATACATGTCTACAAAAACCTACAGCGTATCAGAAAATGTCCTGCGATTCCAGATTCCATTATGAACTAACTCCAAAACTGACAGGATGCAACTTGCAGTTTTAAATAAATTCTTTGCATTTTACCACAGCTACAAATCAGTAGAACAGTAAAAATGAAAAATGTAAAATTACCTTGAAATGTACTAGAATGTTCCATGGAAGTGCAGTGTTCGATGCATGAAGGTCAAAAAGTAAACCAATTGGATAATGCCTAATGACAAACGAGAGAAAGGTTGATACTGAGAACAACAACATTGACAACTAAAATACCACATTTACGCATCTTTGAAAAGTTTTCAGACATTGAATATTTTATTTCCTTGCAACAAATGATGTAAATTAAATGGCCTTCTATATAAAAGTTTTGTACCAACAAAATCTATCAACTAAGCTAACTTTATAAAGCATCAAGAGGAAGCTAAAAGATTAACATTAGAAACTGATCAGTTTCATGCTTGTAATAAAATTAGCTAAAAAGTGTCATGATATTTCTGCCTGAAATCAAGTAAGTACAAGATCCAGGTGAATACAGATTAGAGAGAGAAACACATTTAAGAAAGACAAAGGATTAGAGTGAAATACACACACAATAGTTAGAAAGAGTGAAAGATACACACAGAAATATACAAGCACACTGAGACCCATGGTGTGCAGTTTTCATATCTGCCCTGCTGATTTTACAGTCCTGTGAATCTGAAACTCTAGATACATCCTTTTGTTCCTTTACTCCTCTTAAGTTACTACCATCCAAGGTACCAGCCAACTTCTTTAGTCTTTCTAGCAAAGTGAATCACTATACATTTTCCTATATGAAATTTCCTATAATAAACTTTGATGTAGATAAAAGAAAATGAACCTTGAATCTTAGAAATAGAGAATGCTGAAATACAAAGAAAATGCTGAAAAATATGCAAGTTAAACATCTGAAAGAATAGTGGGTAAACATCCCAACCAAGACCTTCCTCAATATAGGCTTTGTCTTTCAGAAGATAATCAACATGCTGATTTGGAAAAATTAAAAAGTTTTACTTTCCACACAAATAATACATCAGGCCTTTATGATCAATCATGATCATCCCTTACTTTGTATCAAAAATTGATAGATTGCCGTAGTTGTGCATCTGATGAAGGAATATAGTTGAACAAGTATTCTTAACTATGTTAGTTATAAAACGCTTCAAAACAAAAATCTTTAAGAAGAACCAGATAGAAAACTGGAATCTATTATTCACCATATGTAAACAACATGGAAACTCAGGTGTACATGTGCCATGTGTAAAACGTGTTTATAGAAGGAATTACAAATGCTCTAAATTATGGAAATGGTTCATGAAAATCCATGAAAATTTGGCATAACAACGTTCCGCAAACAGCCATGAAGTGAGTAACCATTTTATCTGGGGGATTATTGGCCAGGAAACTGGTTACCTATTCAGGAGGACATAAAAGATCTCAAGATACTATTCATAAAGACATCCTGTATAGCCAACAAATTTCCCCAGTTCCTAGCCAATAATCTTCCAGATAAATTCAGCATTCAGTCATTCCTGTTTGTGGGTCATTGCTGTAAACAAATTGGCTGCTGCATGAGTTTACAAATAGCTTGAGAGCAATACCAAATGCAAGGATTATTGCTCATGAAGTACTTTGCAACAATGACAGTATAAGCGTTATAGAAAATGGCAGGATTATTATTAGACTAATCATACAGATCTAAATACAATTGTTTAGCATAACTAAGCTCCAAAACTGGAATAATATCTATTTACTAAAAAGTGTCCATATCTGTATAAACCAGTGGCGGTTGGCCAATGAAATAAATATTTCTTGATTGAATATTTCTAGATTTATGGCATAAATTTATGTTATTTTGTTATTACTATGTTTATTTTGTTGGCCAAAAAGGTTGGCCACCACTGGTATAAACAAATCTTTACTAATTATTTAAAATTCATATATGTAGTAAAATATCTTTATAAACACAATTATAAGTATAATCATATGCCTAACAAATGTTCTAGTACAGTATCAGTAAAGCTAACTGAAAAACAAATATTATTAAACAGTTAATTCTGAAGCAAATCAGTATGTAACTTCCTTTGTTAATGAAAAACATCCTGTACAGCCAACAACAGGCTTAAGCTTGTTCTTTGTACTCCCACGTTTGAGACGTTACATACTGCATCACTGAAGGCTCAGTCTGGCTAAGACAATGCCTCAATAAGCTGTATTATATGCGTGCACATTGAAAGTATTCTTATGTCCTGAAATTAAATTAGTTTGTGGTTGATTATGATTCCAGTTGCTCTTATGAAGATATGCTTCCAACATGCTTTCAATCATTAGTCTAAGTTTTTAAGTTTTGGTTTTCATATGAAATTCCTTCAATAGTAACCAACATATATACAGAGCGAGTACAGTCAGCTGGGTCCAATCTTGCAGCGACTGCATTTAAAGCAAAGTGTGGGGAAAAAATGGCTTACATCTGGGTCATTGCTATGCGTAAGAAGTACCACTGTCATAATTTCCTTTAGGAAATGACAATAGCGACAACAAAAATTGACCATTTTTTAAAAACAGGACGTTGGCCAGTCAGTACTGGAAGCTGCGTGTTTCCGAACTTCCAGGAGTGCACAGTACACCAGCACAATACGTGGTGTATTACTGGGGACATTATTACAGGGTTCCCTGTACAGCACTGCGATGCTATGGGTCAGCATGAGAAATACAAAACCACAATTGTGAATGGCAACATGTTGTGGAAGTTTAAATGGTTACTTTCACCAGACAGTGTTATTGAAACAATAACTTGCATTGCATATAGCTTGTGCTCTTCACATGGGGTAGCACCGTGGAGTGCTAAAACACAATCAGTCTGAAGAATAACCTGAAAAAGTAAAATCCAAATATCCTTTAAGAAGTTAGTCAGTATTTCATTCCAAAGGCAGGAGTTTTACATCTAGTTTTGAGCACCCCATTGTGGAAAAGATACCAAAGCTATGGAGAGGTGCAGTGAAGATTCATTTTGACAATACTAGGGCTGAGTATGTATTGGTATGTTGTGTAACTTGAAAATGTATTGCTTTTGCTGGAGAAGAGAAAGGTAGAGGGAATTCTAATAGAGATTTTCACAATTATGAATGGTTCTGATAAGGTAAATAGAGAAAGAATATTCCACTGATTGAGCAATTCATTAACTCAAGGACATAACTGAGGATCAGAAGAAAGATGAGCAGTCAGCTTCTTCGGGGAGGGTTGTCTTTAACTTGAAAATAACAAAATCACTCTGCTACTTTATTGTTGCATTGCTAGCTGGTTGCCAACTATCTAATACAGTTTATTTCCACTAATACTGGTTCATTTTGGAAGCTCTGACATGTGTGTAAAAAAACTTGAATGAACTACTTTTACACTAGTAATACTCTAGCACCATCTGCCGGCAAAATACATTGCTTCACTGATTTCAACAAGTGGCTGACCATCATTTTCCAAAGAACAAAGTAACATTCAGAAACCATACTTTCAGAATTTGATGTTTCAAAATGGATTTTTACTGAGTGAAAATGGATTGGAGCTTCAGTTGAGAGGAGTTTTTGTTGCTCATTTTGCTGATGATAATCTTTAAACAGGAACAATTATTCCTTACTGTGGCAGTAACACCGCATTCTTTCAATCTAATCTAAGAAAACGATGCTGTACCATGGTTCCTCCAATTACAACTTCAAAATCACCAACAGCTGTGGGGAAAATAGTGGATCATGAGATAAAATAAATAAGTTGGAACAACAGGTTTACACACTGGCCTTTTAAATCTGAGACCTGGGTTGAAATCACCTTTGTCTTGCCTACAATAATACTGCATGAAATGAGTTTGGGATTGGGCTCACAGTACAATACTGTGTATTCACATTAAATTTTCCATCACACGCGTGAACAATTGACATGGAAAACTGACGTTGTTCAGTAGCAGTTGCTCCTTCAAGACGGGAGGGGGGGGGCGGGAAGGAACTCTACAATACAACAACTTGCACTTATATAGTGCCTGTCTTCCATGCAGGGTAGCGTCTCAGAGTGCTTAACGGTGGTGGGGCCTCACTCCAAGCCAAGGGGAGATGGCTGTAAGCACTGGCGAAGAGTAAGGTTTTCAGGTGGGACTTGAAAAAGGGGAGAGAAGGGGCAAGGCGGAGGGATTGAGGGAGAGCGTTCCACAGTTTTGGGGCGCACTGGCTAAAAGCGCAACCTCCGATGGTGAGGGGGGGGGGGGGGGGTGCGAGGAATGAACAGGAGGCAGGTGCCAGTTTGAGTGGAGGCGCCGGGTAGTGGATTGGGGAGTGAGGAGGCCGGAGATAGGGAGGGGCCAGAGAGTGAAGGGATTTGAACACGAGTGTGAGGATCTTGAAGTTGATCTGTTCAGTGATGGGGAGCCAGTCGTCTGGCCAGAACTGGTGAGATGTGGGTACGCAGTTTGTTCCGGGTCAGTATGTGGGCAACAGAGTTCTGAATGAGCTGGATCTTTTGAACAGTGGAGCTGGGGAGACCAGCGAGGAGTGTGTTTGAGTAATCCAGGTGGGAGGTGCTACACGCATGAACGAGGGTATCTGCTGCATTTGGGGTAAGGTACGGTCGGAGACGGGCAATGTGGCAGAGGTGGAGGAAGGTGGGCCTGGTCAGGGATCGGATGTGGGGGAGGAAGGACAGCTGAGGGTCAAAGTGGGAGAGGGGGGGAAGACAATGGAGCCGAGCAAGGATAGACACTGGGAGAAACTCTATTCTCTTTTTGAACAGCCTGCGGGATCTTTAATTTCCATCCGAAGGACAACGCCTCCAACAATACAAAGCAAAGAACAAATTACAATACAAAACCCCCAACGCTGCACTAGAGTGTCAGCCTAGACCATGTGTGTTCAAAGTCCCAACTTGGGGCTGGAACCCACAACCTTCTGATTCAGAGGCAAGAGTGATACAAACTGTGTTAGGTTAGGTCAAAACACTGGGGGAAATTTATCAGTGAGCAATCCACATTTATACAGTCAGTTGTAAACTAGGCACACTGAATATGAAAAGGTGTATGACATATCATTTATGTTAAAAATAAACATAAATTACATAAGTAAAGTTTACCTCGCCTTTGGCCACAAGAGGGACCTCCAGCTTAGCCAATGCTCACAAGTGACTTTTTGGGTGAGAATTTCAATCGGTCACAAACACTTCTCAACATTTAACCTTTGACAAAACTGCTGATTTGCTGCACTTAATGACGTGAGAAATTAATTGCTATTTGTACTTTTTGAAACAAAGCTATCAAGGAACACTGCGATTGTAATTCAGGCTTTTGAGGTGCAATAGAATTAATTAATTAATTTAATTAAACCTTATGGACTTTTGCTGGGGTACAGTTTGCCAAATCCACTACAATTGGATCCACAACTGATAATAATAATTATATCAGATCTACCAGCAGAGGAAAAGAATATAAAATGGGTTTACCAGACATTATAAATGTCAAAGTTTTGAATGACAAGATCACAGCTGTCTCTACTTTTCGATTCTAAACACAGGGGCGTGATGACCAAGAGACCCACAAGGGACAGCTCTGGAAGGGCCATGTTAATAAGAGGAGATATTCTGGTCAGAATGTATCTGAAATATCAGACTAGGAAGCCAACACAGAACTGACAACTATTAGGGTAAGGAAGGACATCTGTGGATTGTTTGAATGTTCCAGTCAGAAACGGGCGCTCATTTCAGCAGTTTAAATTGGATGACCCATGAGAACAAAGATATTGTACTTTCCTCTGATTAGATCTTTCAAACAACATGCAAGCACTTTTCCAGTGCTTTCAGAAAGAGTCAGAAAAGGCCCAGAAGCCCATATAATCCACACCAGGATAATTCTCTATTTCACCTCCAACCGCGTGCAGCGTAGGTTCACCAGAATGTTACCAGGCCTAAAAGGGTTAAGTTCAAGGAAAGGCTGCATAACTTAGATTGTATTCCCTTGAGTTTAGATGGTTGAGGGGTGATTTGATTGAGGTGTTTAAGATGATAAAAGGATTTGATAGGGTAGATACAGAGAAGCTATTTCCTCTGGTGGGGGAATCCAAAACAAGGGGACATACAACAACAACAACAAGATTCCATTTATAGAGCGCCTTTCACGTCGGGAGGACGTCCCAAGGCGCTGGACAGTTGGGTTAAGGACCTGAGCCTTGGGGGAAAATGGTCAGGGTGAGAGGAGGGAAGGGAGGGAGCGAGGAGGGGGGAAATGGTCAAGGTGAGGGGAGGGAAGGGAGGGAGCAAGGAGGGGGTAGAGAGTCAAGAGGGGAGCTGAAGGCTCGGTCAAAGTCATAGTCTTAACCTTAGAACCAGGCCATAAAAGGGTGAAATTAAGGAAGCATTTTTTCGCTTAAAGGGTGGCAGAAATCTGGAATTCTCTCCCCCAAAAGGTCGAGGATGCTGGATCCATCCACACCTTCAAGAATGAGGTTGATAGATTTTTTGGTAGGTCAGGGTATTAAGGAATATGGGGAGAAAGCGGCAAATTGGAATTGAAAGGATTAGTTGAGGTACAGATCAGCCATGATCTAATTAAATTGCAGAACAGGCTCGAAGGGCTGAATGGCCTACTCCTGTTCCTATGTAACTCAACACTCAGTAACTTCTCTCCTGTTGTCACACACATTCCCCCTCCAGGAAGGTGATGAACCAGACAGAAAATAAAAGGCCAATTTGAGAGGAAAAAAAAATCTGTGCCTCCATATCGTTTACCAGAACTGGACATATCACCCAATGTGGGGTCCCACCATTGCATCAGAATAGGTTCTGTAGATTTGCAGTCTGTTGCCTTATGTATGGATCCCAACACTCAAATGTGTCTGTTAATGGCCACCTCACACAATTTTTGAGCCTTCAGAGTATAATCGATGTTCACCCTCAAGCTCCTTATCTTGGACCAACCACTTTGAGGGGAATCCCACCCAAAAGGTAGTCAAACTAAAGATTTTGATGCCGAGGTACATTATGTTGCAATACTCTGCATTAAAGGCTATCTGGTTTTTTTACCCAATCAAACATCCTGTGCAGATCAGCTTGCAGTGCATGCACCTCTTTCTCTTCTCTGTCCTACTTTCGCACCAATTTTAGAGCCAACAGTAAACATTGCTATAGTGCTGTTAAAGCTTACATAAAGTTGTTATAAATAGTAGGGAACCCCACTCGAGACAGCATCTTCCAATCTATTTCCATTAATGAGTACCCTCTGCTTTTTGTTGCAAAGTCAACTCTCTATCCAACATAGTACTTATCTAAGTCACCATCAGAAATAAGATGCTTTTAGAAATTTGGTTGAGGAAGAAAGATTGGCCAGGACACCAAAACAATTTCCACTTTCAACACTTCATCAAAGTTAGTGCCATCTTTAATGTTCAACTGAACTACCAGACCACGTAGATAAAGCCTTGGTTTAACATTGTATCCAACACAAAAGAATTGATGCAAACAATCTGGCAACAATCTCCTGTGACAAGTCTTATGGAAATATAAATAACAACATCAACAAATTACAATTTTATAGTACCCTTCACATTACAACTACAATAGGTTTACTCTGCACTACCTCAACCCAACTGATCATTGGTAGAATTGAGAGAGAAATCCACAACTATAACTGATCATTTCAGAAAATTATATTCAGGTAGAAACTATATTCTTTAACATTAGTAAATTTGAATCCTGCAAGCTTAATTTATGGAACATAAAAAGATTTTTAAAAAATATATCACAAGGAAGAACACAGCCATTCAAAATGTTCTGAGCAAAATCTAAATTAAAGACAGGCGAGGACACCCACCAACCCAATGGGACCACTGGTTAGTCTAGGCAATCCCCCAGTTTCCCCTGTCCCAGCCCACCTACCTCACTCCTCAGATATTGAAAACAAAACAAAAAACGTCTCCACATACTCACTTGCAGTGTCCCGAGTTGACATGTATAACACAATTTCAATCTAATGGAAGCATGCTTGACCAAGCTGTATTTAAACCAGCTGATTTTTTAATATAGATTTCTGTAATCATTCTGATGCTTTGGCAGAAATGAAGGATATATCTAAAATTAAATAACTGCTGATATCATAGTCACTACACTTTAAAATCTATAATGACAAAGTCACTAGGAGTGTCAATGGGAACTCACCACTTCAGAGGTAGCCCTTCGTATTCAAACCACATCTCTCCCACATCTTCTTGTCTCATAACTTTCTGGAAATGCTTTTTAGCTTTGTCAGTGACGAGCATGAAATAGCTGACTCTTGGCAAAAGCAGCTGAAAGAAATTGCACATGTTGTTGAGGGTCAAATGTTTCACCGCTATGGCATTTGCAAATAGAGGAAGGTACGATGTCAAATGGAAAATCAATATTGCAAAATGTATACAATTTAATCCATGGTATGGGTCCTCATTCACTAGTTGCCCTACAGCATCACGTAAAAAGTTGTTATTTCACAAAATCCCTCAGGTTCTATACATGTCAACTTATTACTTGTGACTTGTTGCATTCCTATCCTTTGGCAATTCTCCACAATATGCCTAAATTATTGGACTTTGGAACATAGTGAAGCTAAATCTGACATGACTATATAATCTCCATAGCATTCTTAGACTAAACAGCTGCTGTTTGATTTGCATTTTTATAGAATCTTGAATTTTCTGTTTTTGGAGACGTGGGCTAGTTTTCGCTTTTATCAACTCTGTTATTCCTGCTGGTCTGACTGGGATCCTGGACAGGCCGGATTTAATCAAAGGATGATACTTCTCATTTTTAATTTTGGTAAGTTAACTTCTCCTCATTCCAGTCTGAATTTCACTGAGCTGAAGCCTGATGATTTCCAGCCAGATGACTTCTTTGCTTTTCACAAAGTCCTCTGCTCTCAAATTTTATTTCATCAGAACCTTAACTGCCTGATACAGCAGTTTTAAATCTTGTACTGCAATCAGTTTCATGCTCTGGTTAGTTTTCAGAAATCATTAGGATTGCACTGTTTAAGCACCTTGGAACGTCCTGCCGACATGAAAGGCCTTATATGAATGTAAAGTTGCAGTGTATTTTATTCTGTGTTGTTATTTGTTTAAATGCTTTTGATGCTGTTTGTTTTTACATTCATGCTTTTCATATCTAAAAATCAACAGTCTGAAAACAATGCTTTTGAATCTTTAGATTCAAAAATTATATATCCTCATACATTTGTGTCAATGACTAACTCATTTTTGCATTATTATTCTAGTTATCCATTAAAAGCAGAAAGAACAAGCTTGACCCTTCACAGTTTAGATGTATGTCTGTTCTCAACAACAGAAGCTCACTATTACAAAATCAGTTGTTTTCAACTATTATGAATGAGCAGATTGAAGCATCCTTTCACCTCTAAGACCGGGATCTGAAAGGTCAGATAAAACTATTGTCTCAAGTAAGGACAGAGTGAAATAAATTTGCATAGTTTCAACTCAGTCTCTCTCTCATGGCCACAGGCCCATAGCAAGAACAGCCTATGTGTTCCTCAGACAGGTAATAAATAACATGAGATGCTCCAATAAGGTTTGAGATGAGCTTCACTCTACTCACATTTGAGTCGAGCTTCACGCTACTTCTAGATTTTGCTGTATTTTACTCTTATATTCCCTCGTTCTCCATCAATTTGACAAGCACAGCATTTCACCTTTAAATATCAGTGGCTATCAAGTCACCGGATTAAGTCTCCTGAGCAGACAATTCTTTAGGAAACAGTTGATAGATTTACTACAAATAAGGGAGTGTAATACAAGATGACTGTTTCTAAGGTTGCAAACATCACTTTTTTTAAAAAAAACTATAATATAAATAAGAAAACTCGAATAATAATAGTGAATGGAAAAAATTAGAAGTGAACAACTCTAGCTGCACACTTTTGGATGAGATGGGGTTTACAGAGAGTGCAGCTAGGGAGGAAAAGGGGCGGGGAAATATAGAGGTGTGGGCCAATTGGAAGAAAGCTGGAGGAAAAGAGAATTATAAAATAAATTACAAACAAATCAGAAAAAATGAACACCTCCCCATAATGGGGTAAAAGAAATGCAACATCGTTTCTTGTACTTACATAATAAGGTTCAGCCTCTCGTTCTGTTATTTCATCCTGAGATAAGGTGAAACAGGTTGGTATTCTTCCAAACCAAACATCACGCAGTACATCCCTGTCATCTGTCATTCTTCCAACATTCGATGAAGCACATATAGACTGATCGTGTATCTTTGAGCAGCTTTGGAAATAAAAATATGATGAATTTAGTCAACAGAGAATAATGGTCAACTTTTTTTTCTGCCCATTCCCCTACCACCAAGAATTATTTCTAAAAATGGCACTTTAACACCAAAAAGTCACACATATCCTTATTACGATGGATGTGCATTCGGTAGGATGACAGCCCTACATACTTACATTGCATTTTGTTCAAGTTATAATTATTTAAACCAAAAAGTAAGTTCAAAGGGAGCATGTTTTGTTAAAAATACTCATCCTTGGGAACAGTTGGTAGTACTCAGTTAGTAGTACTTTCGCCTCTCAGTCAGAAGGTTATGGGTTCAAGACCCATTTTGGGACTTTGAACTCACATAGTCAAGGATGATACTCCAGTGCAATGCTCCGGGGAGCATTCCGAGATGCTACCCTACAGGAAGGCCGTTATATAAATGCAAGCTATTGCTGGATATTTATGCTCTATTTTTGGATGTACAATCCTTTGGAAAAAATATTACACCAAGGTCAGGACTCAGAGATCAGGTGGACATTAAAGATCCTATCGCACTACTTAAAAAAGAGAAAGGAGTTTGTCTCTATGCTCATTTAAAATATAGCTTGATGTTGTGATGGGAAGATAATAGGGTGGATATTCTGGGGGATGAGATCAGATGGTCAAAGGGCCTTCTTCATCCAAACCAATCTTGTGAAAGATAAAATTGGTCATTCACTTCATGACTGTTTGTGGAATAATGTTCTGTGCAAATTGGCTGCCAAGTTTACCTACAAAATACAGTATAAATACAAAATAAATTCACTTTATGGAAAATCCCGATAAGTGTTTCAGATGTCCTTCCAACATGAAAAGAACCATATCATCTGCAATATTTAATTACATTTCAATAATTATATTTATTCTTTGTGCAAGAATATCTCTGTCATTATTTCGTCTTTAACTTTTGTTGTGTCACTTTCTTGACAAATGATTTAAAATTGAATATTGAGTAATTTCAACTCAAGAATAAAAATAACCACCCTCCTTCCACAATGAACTCACCAGTTACCATCTGACTGCCACAGTGCAGTATGCAGCATTGTACCTCAAAACAATGCTTTATGCCATAAGTCTACAAGTTCACAAAAACAGTCAACAAGTGGTACAAACGGGATTCAAAACCAGATTAATTGAGAATTACACACTCGTCAATCAATTTTATTTTCCAGAAAGCAACGGGTTAATTTTCTATAAATAGCCCTGAATCACAATAATATTTATTGTGTAAAAACACGATTGTGACACATTACTACATTTATAAATTGTGTAAAACTTTCAAGCCACATTGTTGCATTTGTAACTTGTATATAGACAACTATCACATATTGTAATTATATAGAGACAACTTTGTGTACATAATATTTGTTTATTATGTAGACAGCATGTCATTATATTTGTTTATGGTGTGCAGACAGCCCCATGTTATATATTAATGTCTGTGTGCAGCCATTGCAGCCCGCCTTGTGTCACATTATTATATTTGTTTTCTGTTTGTGTCACATTATATCGGTTTAATGTGTACGGATAGGCCTTCACATTCACGATTATTGTGTAGTAATCTTTACATTTCATGTATGCATGTATGTAGAAAACAACAACTTGTGTTTATATAGTGTTCTTCACAAGGGGCAGCGTCTCGGAGCGCTTAATGACAGCCTCATGGCAAATTATTACATGCATGTTGTGCAGATAGCAACATACAAAATACAACAACAATCCGAGAAATGCAGTACACTTCTACCACTGACTGGCACCACGTCATATTATTACATGTATATTATGTAGACAGCAGATTCTATTTGTGTGTATGGTGTGCAGACAGCCGGTCACATTATTACAAATAGAATGAAACTCTTATTTAGTGTTACTGGGGTCTGTCTGTAGACAGCATAATCATTACATTTGTTTATACTGTGGACCCACAGAATCCCAGAAATCCCAGTACACGTCTACCACTGTCTGGCCAGCTATCTGTGTTTGGCACCGAGGTGCAAAGCTCTCCAGATTTCAATGACATTCCAGCAAACACTGGCTTTGTGAGCTCTGCCATGTGCACCGCAGGAAAGTCATCAACAACCCAAACGCACTGACCAGTAACTGCACTATATAATACAACCCATAATACAGGGTTTCATTTTATGGGCTCAAACCACCATGTAACTGGATCAAATTATGACATGTCCTGATACAAGACAGAAAGGCCGTGCAAACCATAGGCATGTCGTGCAGACAGACAGGCTGACACTTTAAAAGCAGCTGCACTGACCACTCGTCATATCACATACACATACACAGGCACCTTGTCATATAGGTACCATGTCATATCACACGTATGTTGTACAGGTACCATGTCATATCACACACATGTTGTCCAGCTCAGCTGTGAGCTGCCGCCGGGCCCTCGCCTTTCCCAGGCAGCGGGGGCCGTGACCTCGTCCCCGGAGCCGTTTTACCTGAGCTGCCGAGCAGTGAGGAGGAGGAGGAGACTCCCCGGGGGGGGGGGGGGGGGGGGCGCTGCGGTGCTGTCTCTCAGGCCGCGCGGCTGTGCCGCTGGAGCTGCGGCTGACCCTCGGGCTCCAGCTGTGCGACCAAGGAAGAGGCTCTCCTCCGACACCGACCTTCTCCCCAGCAGCCCCCGCGTCAGCGCCGCTCCCCTCGACACCGACCTTCTCCCCAGCAGCCCCCGCGTCAGCGCCGCTCCCCTCGACACCGACCTTCTCCCCAGCAGCCCCCGCGTCAGCGCCGCTCCCCTCGACACCGACCTTCTCCCCAGCAGCCCCCGCGTCAGCCCCGCACCCCTCCGACACCGACCTTCTCCCCAGCAGCCCCCGCGATAGTCGTGGTCGAAGGAGAGAGCAACTGCAGCGCCACCTGGGGACAGGTGGGCACGAGTTGGGCGGGTTGTGGGCGGGTTGGCGCCCAGTGTGGGCGGGTTGACGCCCAGTTGGGCGGGTTTTCTTATCCTGCGCGTGGGAAAAAAAATCGTTGGGGGCCCAATTTTTAAAATCTTAATTTAAATCTGCGAAACCGTTTTGTTTCCCCTTTTGAAGACCTTTACTTACAGTTTTTTTTAAAAAAAACACTGACCTGAGTTGGCAACTCTGCTACAAACAGCAGCCAACATGGTACTGCAGATCCCGGGAACCTTAAACAAAAACAGGGAACACTCAGAAGGTCAGACAGCATCTACCGAGAGAGGAAAGGTTCGGGTCAATAACCCACAAGATATATGAATGAATGTGAAGCCATTCACGCGTACTCTGGGTCTCGGACGCACCTTTTTATAATTTTCCCCCCTATTGCCCTATTTTGTCTTGCGCCACACCAACCCCTCTGATCTCATCATCGTCTGAGCAGAGAGCCCAGCAGCCTGAGGTGGGAACTGAGTGAGAGTTCTGTTAAGGAATTTGGTGAGAGTGGGAATTCGGTGAAGAAGGGGCAAGAGGTGCATAGTTATAAAACATATTAGAACAGCAGGATCAAACACATGAGTGCACGGCTGGAGAAATGGTGCATAAAGGAGGGCTTCAGGTTCCTGGATCATTGGGACCAGTTCTGGGGCAGATAAGGTGGATGGTTTACACCTGAACAGGGCTGGGACCAATGTCCTCCCTGGGAGGTTAACTAGTGGTGTGGGGAAGGGTTTAAACTAATTTCAAGGGGGCAAGGAAATCAGAATGTAGCTTCAGAGAGGACAAACAAGTTACATAGAGAGCTGGGAGAGACGAATAGCAATGTCATAAGGAATAGTCCAGAAAAGGGAGTGATTAGACGGGGGAGAAATGCAGAGCAGACTCAGTTGGTCTTGGAGTGCATGTGTGTAAATGCATGGAGTGTGACAAATAAGATGGTGAGTTGCGGCTCAAGTTACCATATGGGCTTATGATGTAGTAGCAATAACAAAGACCTGACTCAAACAAGGGCAGGAATGGAAGCTGAATATTCCTGGCTACAATGTATTCAGAAGGAATGGGGAAGAAAAAAAGGAGTGGCAATATTGATTAAAGACACAGTTCAAGTCGTGGAAAGAGACAATGTGCCAGAGGATCCCAAAACAGTATCTATTTGGTTAGAGTTAAGGAGCAGAAAAGGAGCTGTTACTCTATTAGGTGTATACCATAGACCATCAAATAGTGGGAAGGAGATAGATAAGCAAATCTGCAAGCAGATTTCAGAACAAGGCAAAACCAACAGAGAAGTGATAATGGGTACTTCAACTATCCTAACACAGATTGGCAAAATAACAGTGTAAAAGCCAAGGAGGGGGGAGGATTCCGAAATGTGTGCAGGATAACTTTTCTGGGTTAGTATGTTTCCAGGCCAACAAGGAAGGAAGCAGTGCTTATCTTGTTCTAGGGAATGAAATAGGGTAAGTGGAGCAGCTTTCAGCAGGAGAACATCGAGATAACAGTGATCACAACATCATTAGGTTTAGAGTACGTATGGAAAAGGACAAGGAACAATCAAAGGTGAAGATACTCAACTGGAAGAGGGCTAATTTTAGCGAATTAAAAAGGGACTTAGCCAAGGTGGACTGGGAAGAAATATTGGCAGGTAAAACAGCTAAGGAGCAATGGGAAGCTTTCGAGGAGATAGTTCGGGGACAGAACAAATACATTCCCACAAAGGGGAAAGGTAGGGCATCCAAACCTCCCTGGATGAATAAGGAAATTGGGATTAAAATAAAACAGAAAAAGATGAGTGTTAGGTCCAAACACAGAAGATAATTAAGTAGAATATAGAAAGTACAAGGGAGAACTGAAAAAGGAAACAAGAGGGGCAAAGAGATTGTATGAGAAAAGATTAGCGGGTAACATAAAAAGGAACTCAAAGGTATTTTATAAGCATATAAAGAATAAAAGGTTAGTCAAAGGTAGGGTGGGTTCAATTAAGAGTTCAAAGAGGAAATCTTGTGGAGGCAGAGGGCATTGCTGATGTGCTGAATGAGTACTTTGCATCTGTCTTCACAAAAGAAGAGGATGCAGCCAATGTCACAGTGTCTGAGGAGAAGGTAGACAAATTGGATAAGATAAGAATAAATTGAGAGGAGGTACTAAAGAGGTTATCTGTGCTCAAGGTAGATAAGTCACCCGGTCGGACAGGATGCATCCTAGGTTACTGAGGGAAGTAAGGATGGAAATAATGGAGGCTCTGGCAACAATCTTTCAATCCTCCTTGGACACTGGGATGGTGCCAGAGGACTGGAGGGTTGCAAATGTTACTCCCCTGTACAAAAAGGGGCAGAAGGATAAACGTGGAACTAAAGGCCAGTCAGCCTAACGTCAGTAGCGGGTAAACTTCTAAAGACTATAAGCCGGGACAAAATACATTTTCACTGAGAAAAATATGGGTTAATAAAGGACAGCCAACACAGATTTGTTAAAGGCAAATCGTGTCTAAGAAACCTGATTAGAGTTTTTTGATGAAGTATTGGAGAGGGTGGATGAAAGTAGTGCAGTTGATGTAGTTCATGGATTTTCAAAAGGTGTTTGATAAAGTGCCACATAAGAGACTTGTAAGCAAAATATAAGCCCATGGTATTAAAGGAACAGTGGCAGCCTGGATACAGAACTGGCTGGGAGACTGAAAGCAGAGAGTGGTGGTGAATGGTTGTTTTTCTAACTGGAGGAAGTGTGCAGTGGTGACCCCCAGCAGTCGGTATTGGGGCCACTGCTGTTTTTGATCTATATAAATGACCTGGACTTGGGTATAGGGAGTACAATTTCCAAGTTTGCAGATGATACTAAACTAGGAAAAGTAGTAAACAGTGAGGAGGATAGTAGCAGACTGCAAATGGACATAGACAGACTGGTAAAATGGGCAGACACGTGGCAGATGAAATTTAATATGGAGAAACTAGAAGTGATACATTTTGGGAGGAAGAATGAGGAGAGGCAATATAAGCTGATGGTACAATCTTAAAAGGGGTGAAGGAACGGAGAGACCTGGGTTTCATATAGGTAAATCTTTGAAGGTGGCAGGACAGGTAGATAAAGCTGTTAAAAAACATGTAGGATATTAGGCTTTATAAATAGGGGTGTAGAATACAAAAGTCATGAAGTTATGATGAATCTTTATCAAACACTGGTTAGGCCTCAGCTAGAATATTGTGTTCAGTTCTGGGCACCACACTTTAGGAAGGATGTCAAGGCTTTGGAGAGGGTGCAAAGGAAATTTACCAGGATGGTACCAGGAATGAGGGACTTCAGTTATCAGGAGAGGTTAGAGAAGCTAGGATTATTCTCTTTGGATCAGAGAAGGTTAAGAGGAGATTTAATAGCAGCTATCAAAATTGTGAGGGTATTCAATAAGGTGAACAAGGAGAAACTATTTCCACTGGCGGGTGGGTCGGTAACTTGAGGGCACCAATTTAAAATAGTTATTAAAAGAAACAGAGAGGTGAGGAGAAATGTTTTAACACAGTGAGTTGTTCGGATCTAGAATGCATTGCCTGAAAAGGTGGTGAAAGCCGATTCAATAACAACTTTTAAGTAGATAATTATTTGAAGAGGACAAGTTTGCAGGGCTATGGGGAGAGAGCGGGGGAGTGGGATTGATTTGGATAGCTCTTTTTAAAGAGCCGGGACAGACACAATGGGCCGAATAGCCTCCTTCTGTGCTGTATAATTCTGTGAGTCTATGATTTCTGTTCTCCACCAAAATGTTTCCTTTTTCTTTATCCGCCCCCTTCTCTGCTTGTCCTTATAATCTGCTCCCAACGTCTCCCAGTTCTGATCATAGGTCATTACCTGAAATGTTAACTCACTTCACACTAACAATAAATTAGACTTCAATCTTTCAATTTGAGCACCTATAATATCCAGCAGAACAGGACCTCAGTTTAATATCATATGCAAAGAACAGCACCTTTCACAATGGAGCCCTACCACAGCATTGTATTAAAGCGTCAACATAAACTATGAGCTCAAATATTTACTTGGGGTTGACATCAAACCACAAACATAATAATAATCCTTGCATTTGATATAGCGCCTTATCACGTTGTCGAGACGTCTCAAAGCGCTTCACATGATACACTGTGAATTGACTGTATATTTTGTGGGCGAAACATGGCAGCCAATTGCGCACAGCAATGTCCCACAACAGTCATGGATTAAATGACCAAATTATTTTTTGTTGAAGGGATTATTAACTCCGGTAAAGTAATCCACCAATTAACTAATAACCAGGTTCCTACTTACTGCTAGGTAAACAGAGGCGTGTGGAGTAAGCAAACTTGACTAACATTTCGGCCTGCCCGTAATCCAACCCATGTCCTATCTCTTGCAAGGTGAGCACTCTAACAACTGAGCTACAGGATTCCATATACTTCTGACTACTCAATTAGTATCATTCTTCCATGTTTCAGTTGTTTGGTCAGTGCAGTGTGTGTGTGTGTATATATATATATAGAGAGAGAGAGAGAGAGTAAAGGCGGGGTGGGGAAGGTGTAACAGGACTTTGTGGACACCCTGTTAGAGGGTGTTGACTGTGTGTTTTGTGAGTGAAACTTCTTAGCTAGAGGTGAAATGCTGTACACTGTCCAGCACCTTGGGACGTCCTCCCGATGTGAAAGGTGCTATACAAATATAATCTTGTTGTTGTTATAAAGTGGGAAAACTCCACAGCTTTAACCTCAAATCCTGCTCCAGTTGCAGGAGACACAACAG